CACGCACGCACGCACGCACCACGCACGCACGCACGCACACACGCACGCACGCACGCACGCACGCACGCACGCACGCACGCACGCACGCACGCACGCACGCACGCACGCACGCACGCACGCACGCACGCACGCGCGCACACACACACACACTTGTCCTCGTCGCCGTCCTCCTCGCCGCTGTCTCTCGGTTCTCTCCGCGTCGGTCGGTCTTTCGGTCGGCTCTTGTGAGGACAGTCGAGAACGCTGCCCACCCCGGGAGCAGGACACAGGGCATGCAAGAACGAGAGAGAGAGAGAGAGAGAGCGCGAGAGCATCCACAAGGACGGGCAGAGAGGAGGCCCAGCCCGGCCCCGCCGTGACCCAGAGCACGGCGCCACCCCGGGAGGAGCCTCAGGTCCTCCCCGTCGCCGCCTTCCTCCTTGTCGCCCTCGCCCTCCGTCCCCCGATGCGCTCCTGCACGGACCGTCGCTCGTCACCTCGTCGCCCGATGGACCGCGGAGCCTGTCAAGAGTCATTAATGGTGAGGAGGTCTCAGGCGAAACGCCCGGCCCGCCCTAAAAACTGGCCTCGGGGTGCGACACGGAGGAGTTATCTACAAGGAGAAGGAATGGAGGAGGAACACGCAGACGAGGGCGAAACACGAGGGCGAGAGACGAGGGCGAGGGCGAGGCTCGAAGGCTGGAGCCGCGGAGCCGCGGAGCCGAGGCCGCACCCGCGCCCCCCCGCTGCGCAGGCGCCCTGGCGGCCCAGCAGGAGCTGCGAGGGCCCCGCACACCTCGGCGCCGCGGCCCCGGGCGTGCCCCTCGGCAGCGCGGCGGCCCTCGGCGCGGCGCTGGCGGGCCCCAGCGCCGCGCAGTCGCCGGACGAGGGCGCCGCCGAGACCGCGGCCGCGCCGGCGACGAGCGGCCGCCGCAGCGGCCGCGGCCTCGCCGAGGCCGAGGCCGCCGCGGCCGAGGCCACGGGCGCGGGCGGGCCGGCGCCGTGGGAGGCTCCCGCGCGGGCGCCGTTCGTGCCGGCGGGCCCGTTGGGGTTCGAGGCGCAGGCCGGGCCGCCCCTTCGCGTCGTCGGGGGGAGGGGGGGAGGGCGTTCTTCTCCGGAACCGGAAGTGTAGCGGCCGCGGCACGGTGCATGGCATCTCCGCGCGTTTCGCCGTAGCATCCGGGGCACAGAGGAACCTTGCGCGCCACGGAGTCAGTGAGTGAGTGATGCGTTGTGGGGCGTGGGGCCGGTTGCGTCGGGATGAGCATCTCGGGCCGGAGGCTTTTCGTCCACATAGGCAGCTGGCGGCCCTCGCCAGGCCCCCTTTCCTCCTCCCTCCCCCCTCCCTGCCTCCTCCCTCCTCCCCTCCCTCCTTCCCCCTCCCCATCAAGCGACCTGGGACGAAAAGCCGGTCCCTGGGAAGTGGTCCGGAGTTCCTCCGCAGGCCCCGCATTGAAAAATCAAGGCTCCAGAGGTCTGTGGAAGAGAGGGTCCTGGGTGGCGTTGGTAGCACGGCCGGGGCCACGCGATCTCCCAGGGGCCATGGCCCCCTCGGCGCATTCCGTGGCCACCCCTTGCCCACACGCGTGCACTGGGCCATGATCCGATCGAACGGAGGAGACCACCAACGCTTGTGACGGGCGGCGCTCGTGGCAGTTGCTGGCGAGCTAGCTTTCAGATCTGCTTGGCTCTGTGCCGAAGGGCGTGTGCTAGGGTGATGCCGATGCTGGCGTGGGCAGCAGCCACAGCAGCAGCACCAGCAGCAGCACCAGCAGCAGCAGCTGCAGCAGCTGCAGAAGCAGCAGCAGCAGCAGCAGCATCATCAGCAGCAGCAGCAGCAGCTTCCCTCCTCCCTGCGTCATCCTTCGCCCCCCCGTCATTTTCTCCGTCCGCCCTCCCTGCATTCTCCCTCCTCCCTCCCTCCCTTCCTCCTTCCCTCCCTTTTCTCCCTTCCTTATTCCACTCGAACAGGATGCCTCGTTGCTATCCGGGCTCGCAGCTCTGGAGCGCATGTATCTCATACAGCCGCCATGATTTCTTACCGCCAACCACCCCCTGCAATTCTACTTGGCAGCGGAGCTGGGACCGATCCCAGGTCGCGATCCACGGAAGACGCGTAGGGCGCGATGCGGACGCACATTCGCGATTCCCCCACCATCCGCATTGGCACCACCCCCCATACCCTCAACAGCTTGTGCTTGTGGTAGTTCTGCACACTTCACGGTAATTCGCCCAAGTCACCTACAGGTGCGACGAGGCCAACGCCAACGACCGCAAGTGACCTTGCGAGTGTACCGTCTCTTGCGGGACATATGGCCTGTTGCCAACGAGACATCCGTGCTTCAGTCCCCTCACCATCACAATCCCCCGGCACTGGCAGCGGGGCGCCATCGCTATACCGCACAATCGGGCCAGTGATTGGGTTCGGATTGAGCGCAGGGGTTCTGACTTATTCTTAGGAAGCACGCTGCGCCCTCCGAGTGGCTCCAGGTCGGTGAATGCAGCTATCTCGCCACCCCTGCACATCAGCAAGGTTTCCAGTACTACTGCCACTGCTCCAAATGGCAAGATGGCGCTCGTCCTTGTGCAGGTCCGATCCCCAAGGCGACTGCACGGTAATCGTATCCAAAATGACGACTGGGTTCGAATGATCTCCAATTTGGCACTGCTGGGCAGTACCCTCATCCCCTCCATGGTCGCCCTGCTTTGGCTTATCTGCATGATGCCTGGAGGATCCAGGCAAGGCTGAGATTGTGGCAGGAACGGCGTCACATCCCGCCAGCCACCTTCCTGGTCACCCGAAAGGGGGTCAGCGCACCCGTTCCGTCACAGGGTGCAGGACCTACTCGTCTGGAGCGCACTCGCCACCGACATGGACAGCGCCCAACAGTGTGTTGCCATTATCCTGAATCTCGGCGGCGCCGCTCGCGAGCTTGCACGTTCTGGCTTAGAACGTGCAAGCTCGGACAACTAGAAGACGCCGTCATTTGCCTCATTGCGAATATCGCAGCACAGCTTAGACCTTTTACCGAAGAGTCACGCCTGCACGTTACCCTCGAGCTCTTTAAGTTTTCGAAGCGACGCAATGAGACCACCGATGCACTGTCCTCGCGGTTTCTTACCCTGCGATTCCGAGCAACGCATAACGGTGGATCTACGATGTCATGGGAAGGCGATAGCTGGCTGCTCCGAGCGGTCGGCGGTACCGCCTGCCAACTCATGACGCTGCTCCAGCCCTACGGCAACCGATTTCCAGCACCAGAGCCTGAGTTCAACAGTCTCTCGACAATGCTCAGGCGTGTTGGTCACACCGTGGAGCATGCACCCAACAGCATCGCCAGCTCCCTTCGTGCACCGCCATCCCCGCCATCCTTCGCAGGCTCCGTAGGCACGACCGAAGGCAACAGTCGCGACGCAGGCACAGCATACCGCTGGCATTCACAAGGGCTTGACCCTTGGGCTGCCAGCGCTGCCGAAGCCCAAATGCCGGAGGTGCCTGCGCGTGCGCCGGCAGCTCCCAGCAGAGCGCCGCGCCGCCGCAGGCCGCATATCCTGGCGCCGCGGGGCCGCGCGCTGATGAAGCGCAGAGCTTCCTCGTTCACGCCAGCGGCGCCAGTTCCGACACCACTCCAGACGTCGGGAAAGCAGTCGATGAATCATCGGACCCCTGGACCGCCGCCAGGGCATGCTGCGCCAGCGCCTGGATACCATCAGGAGAGGAAAAAACACACAGACACAATTAATCGTCGATTCCCCAGAAAATGTGGGAAAATATGGGAAGTGGGGGGGAAGAAACAAAAAAACAGGAAATATGAGAAAATAGTGGGAATCCTTTCATTTGTGTGCATTTATTTGTGTGTCCCAGGGCCCCTTCATATTCATCGGACCCCTGGACCGCCGCCAGGGCATGCTGCGCCAGCGCCTGGATGTCAGGTCGCTGGCGCGCGCCCAATTCAGGTCTGCCCATGGGCCGCGGGGCGCCCCTCGGCAGCCGTGGCCAAGCGCAGCGCCAGCGGCCCAGGCACGGCGGCAAGGATAACGGTTATGTCGGGCCTCTCCCCCTACAGGGGGATTGTCGTCGGAAAATAAAAAATACACCAAAAATATTCTAACAATGCTCCAAAAATAGTCTGGGGACTATTTGTGTTGTATTTTTTACCTTTTTGGCATATTGTTGGGGTATTTTTATTTTGTCATCGAAAATCCCCCCTGTAGGGGGACACGCCCGACATAAGACAACGGCGAGAAACGCGGAGGCCCCCGCGGCCGAGCCCGCCAGGGCCCCCAAGACGAGGCGCCACGGAGGTCTCCGGAGCGAGAGGGCGCCAGGCTCACGAGCGGGCGTTGTGCGCACCGGCTGAAGCAGGACGCGGCTGCCACCGACGACGATCGGGGGCGGCAAAGAGGGGGGTGATGACTAGGGGGGGGGATATCATGGCGCGGGCCATGATATTTCCCCAGATTTCATGGCGCCTCTTCTTCTTTCATTGCGTCCCTGGCCAACCCGCTGGGCCGCGCACGTGCCGCCGGTCATGATTTGCACCCCCCCCTCTTGGACACCCCCCTCTTGGCCGCTCCCGAGACGACGACGAGGAGAAGGCCACGCCCGCCGAGGACGTCGAGGAGTCTGCAGTGGGCGACGCCGCAGCGGGCTCGGACAGGCCTCGCACCATTCTCTTGGTGGAGTACGTTGAGGGGGAGGACGTGGGCTGAGCGGCGAGGCGAGGGACAGGATATCATCTTCCGTGCCCCCTCAAGGCTCAAGGAAAACATCCACCTTTTGCCCCCGCCCCAGTCTACCAGCCCAAGGTATTGTCTCATCCTCGTCCCCTCAACCTCGCGGGTCGCGTGTCACAGTACGTCGAGCTTCGTTTTGTTTTTCGGTCGGCCCGACCGCGACGCACGGCCCTCACGCATTCACGGTCACAGCACCTGGCCAGCCGCCTCACACCACTCGGGTGATCTGCTCGGTGCCATTCGTAACAGCACGAGCGTGCCCTCTGAGTGCAGTCAGCGGGCGCGCACTCCGCTGGCCCGGCGCGCGCCCCCCCAGGTGGCGGCAGGGTATGTTGTGCGGACTGGGAAGGTGCGCGGGGGTTAGACAGTTTGGGCGTTAACTCTTTCTCGGTTCCTTGGCTCCGCCAGAGCTGTTCGATCGCCCGCACAATTCCGACTCGAATCGGATGCCTCGCTGCTATCTGGGCTCGCAGTTCCGGAGCGCGCGCATTTGATCGCATTTGATATAAGAAATGTCCGCGTTACCACCGCCCTGTTTTTTCCCACCAACCAGCCCCCGTAACTTTAGTATCCCTCCCCCTTTTCCCTCTTGCATCTTCCCTGCTCTCTCATCCCTCCCTCCTCCCGTTTCCCCCCTTCCTCCTTCTTCCCCCTGGCTTCCCCCTCATGCTTCCTCCTCCTCCTCCCTCTTTCTCGCTGTTCTTCCTCCCTCCTTCCCCCCTGCTGCTCCTCCTCCTCCTCCTCCTCCTCCTCCTCCTGCTCCTTTTCTTTCTCCTCCTCCTCCTCTTCTTCCTCCTCTTCCTCCTCCTCTTCCTCCTCCTCTGCGTCCTCCTCCTCCTCCTTCTTCTTTTCCTCCTCCTCCTCCTCCTCCTCCTCCTCCTCCTCCTCCTCCGCCTCTCCCTTCTCACCCTCCATCCCTCGCTGGCCCTGCCCTGCTCGGCGACTCGGCTGCCCCGCCCCCCCCCCCCCCCCCCACAGGGCCCTGGGGCGTTCGACCGCGCGCGGGAGGGCGGCGGCGCGGGCGGCGGCGGGCGCGCCGCGGGGCCGAGCCCGGCGTGCACCCAGGACGAGCGGTCGGCCAGCCGCCTTGGGGGGCCAGGAGTGATGGGGGGGGGAAGGGGGGGAGGGAGGAGGGAGGGGGGGAGGACGGAGGGGAGGAGGGAGGGGAGGAGAGGGGGAGGAGGATGAGGATGAGTAGATGAGTGAGTAGGAGGGGGGAGGGGGAGGGGGGGGGGGAAGAATGGGGAGGGGGCGAGGAGGAGGGCAGGAGGGGGGGAGGAGGAGGTGATGGACGAGGGGCAAACGGAAATAGAAAACAGGGTGGAGGGCGGAGGAGAAGTGGGCATGGGGGAGGAGAGGGTCAGAGGGAGGCGGAGGAGTCGCAAGGGAAAGAGCAGGAGGAGGAGGAAAAAGAGGAGGAGGAGGCGGGTGATGAGGAGGTGGAGGTGGAGGAGGATGTGGAGGAGGATGTGGAGGTGGAGGGGGAGGAAAGTAAACACCATAACACTAACAAACACAATCGTGGTAAGATTCGTCTTTGGAGTCAGAAGAATAGGAGGACACATTGAACAAAAAACTACAAGTTCGGAGGAGGAGGAGGAGGAAGAAAACTCCCAGAGAGCTTGGGAAGAGGTCGGAAGGCTTCAGAAAGTTCCAGAGGTGTTCACCACTGTTTCATCGCTTGTTTGGAGATTTCGGGCGTCTTTGTCAGTTCTGTGGTGCCGTGAGTGACGAGGAATAGCCAAACAGATGTTCAATACGCCACCCCCCCATATCGGCAGTTTCGGGGCCTTTATGTTATTATCTTGTCTCTGGAGAGTCTGCTTGGGTTGCTCCCCCACACACTCTGTCATGTCATGGGGCCCGGTAGCAACCAAACGGGCATTCAGAGGGGACAACTAAACTCACCGCCAATAGCCAGCCGGTTTCGATTTTGCTGCGGCACCTGCAGGGTATATTCTAGACGCTTCGCGTAATCCCTCCAGCATCTTTGGTGGTCTTCGAGTTCGACGTCGTCCTGCTCTTCGCAATTTTGGTGCTGCACGAGGACCTGGTGCTCTCGGTCGCCCGCATCTGGGGCGCTGCGTAGCTCGCCCCTGCACACTTAGTGGTTAATTTAAGCTTTTGCTAGCTGGCAATTCCCTGACGGCGCCTAGCACCCCTGCGCGCTCGCGAACAAAACGTAATCCCACTAGCCCATCCAGAAACGATGCCCAGACGAGCTGTCCTGAGCACGGATGTGCAGAAGCATGCAGATGCATAAAGGGCTGGGGAAGCTGTCATAGCCCAAGAGTGGGAGGATGGATGGGGTAAATAATCCAAGGGGGAGGGGGAGGAGGCGGAGGGGGAAAGGGGGGGGGGCGGGGTGGGGGGGTGGAGGAAGAGGGATGGAAGGAGGAGTAGGTGGATGATGATGATGATGATGGTGATGATGATGGCGATGATGATGATGATGGTGGTGATGACGATGATGATGATGGTGATGATGATGATGATGATGATGATGATGATGATGATGAGGATGATCATGATGATTATGGTGATGATGATGGCGATGACGATGAGGAGGAGGAGGAGGAGGAGGAGGAGGAGGAGGAGGAGGACGCCGAAGACGAGGAGGAGGAGGAGGAGGGCGAGCAGAAACGCCAGAGGCCTTTCGGATACCTCGGAGTCGCTCCGGAACTAGGAGTTTTCTCGGGGCGTGGATGAGGCTTCTTCGCAGTCCCAGGGGCCTCTTGGAACGCCTGGGGTGCCTCGGGAGAGCCTCTTGAGGCCTCTTGGGGGTCTCTTGGAACCTGTTGCGGGCCTCTTGGGGCTTCCTGAGCGCCTCTTGGGGCCATCTGGGGGCACATTTGGGAGCCTCTGGGGGCCATCTTAGAGGGGGGGTAAGTAGGGTGGGCTCCCCCCAGGAGGCTGAAATTGGCCCACAACCTCAGTAAAATCAATGATTTGGGCCTTTTCGTCGAGGCCATCTTGGACGCTCTAACGCCTCGCGGGGCGCCCCGCCCACCTTCAGGTGGACGGGGTCGGGGGAGGGGTTAAGACACCCTCCCCGCCCGCAAGCCGTCTCGCTCACTCCCACCCGCCCTCCCAACACAGAAGTTGCACCCGAGCCGCAGCATGTTCAGCGGTAGTCTTTGGATGGGCAGCTAATGGTAACCAAAGCAAGCCCGATGTGCGGAATATTGGGGCGAGGTGCGCCAGGCGCGCCATGCGCGCCAGGTGCGCCAGGCACCCCTGTGGCCCAAGCGTGCCAGGACGCCTGGTGCGCAAGATGCGCCACGTGATCCACGTGCGCCATGTGTGCCGCATGCTCCAGCCGCGCCAGGTGCGCCTGCGCACATGGCAGTACACATCAGAAATCGTGTCCCTTGTCGAAAACCAGTGCGCAATCGCGGCGGGGTGGCCATCATACCGCTCGGTTGGCCTGCGCATGGTAGGCAATATGCCAGCACCCCCGCCGTCCCAGTCAAAAACCTTTGCGCAGTGATCGCGAGGTGCCCGCGCACGATCCAGATTTTGCCTCGAAGTGCGTTTAGCATTGTTTTGGAACGGATGTTGGCCCTGCGCGCAGCAGGCAATCTGCGGACACCCCCGCCGACCCCTTCAAAAAACAAGACGAAGTGCTCGCCCCCCCCCGATCATGACCCAAGACTTTGCCCCAAAGTGGACGTCACATGGTTTTTTGACAGGGAAAATGAAGTGGGGTGCCCTCATTGGTCCTGGTCGGTCGCCTGGGGGAGGGGGTGCTTGAGTCATAGGGAACAACGCTAAACCCTTCCCCCGAAAAAGGGACGAAAGGGGGTCGGAAGAGGAAACGCTCTAAACCACTCACGCTTCAGAGGGCTGGTGGGATTTGCTCGGTCACGGTCCCTGGGCACACTGGCCCACGACATTTCCCGATAACGTCTGGAGACCCACAGGGCCCCCCCCCCGCGCGAAAACCGCAGCATGTCCTCCCAAGGCCTCCCAGGACGTGATCCATGCTTCCTTCGCCTCCCACGCAGGTCGGAGGAAGAAGAAGCGACATCAGCACCACTGGTGGGGCCACCCGCTGGCGCAGAGATCCCCTGTGCCTCCGCAGGCTGGAGATGTTGGAGACGCCTCGAGCGGGACGCGGGCAGGCGTAAAAGTCGGCATCGCTCCGTCCCGAGTACCCCTTCCGCTGTTCCTTACGACGGTGGTGCTGCTGCCGATC